AATCGGCTAACAATACTAACACCAACTAGGTCACCATCGAATTGAAGAAAAAAAGTAGCATATACCGGGCTATCTGGATTGGAAGTCTGGATAAAGAGAACTGGGTTACTAAAGTACTGGAGATATACTGTAAAGTAAGTTCTGGATTTAAGTGAACTCTACAAGAGCAGAAGTAGGTTTGAGCAGCAGAGTTTAGCTGAAAACTAAAGTTAAATCGTAGAAAGAAAGCAGGAGAAAGTTTAAGTTAGAGAAAAAACTATAGGCAATGATCTTGACCTAGCACCCATATACTCTCAGAATAGGAAAAACTGAGCTACAAGTGGTAGACCATGGTCTGTGCATACCAAACTGAAGCACAGACTAAGTGTGATATAAAGTGAGAATACTGTGGTCTCTGCTAGGTTTATCTTGAAAATAAAGTAGTTTTAAGTTGATATATGAAATGATGCACCTGTGAGACTAGTTCTTAGAATTGGAGGAAGGGTGCTGGTTGTTATAGGCCTCAGAGTACATAGGCACAGAGAGTTTAAAGGGTAACCCCTAGTTGGGTTGCAAGTATGGCAAATAGTATAGTATCTAGTAATAGACAGACTATTTAAATAGACCTCCAAAAGGTATAAGTATAACTAAATATATTTTTCAAATATATATAATGATGTCTAAAAACAATAAAAACACAGCATGACCAAGAGGTCACCTTAAAACCAAAAAAAAAAATAATAATTATATATATTTAACTCTAATTTTTATTCATTATTAACTGTATAAAATCTTTAGCATTAATTATATGAAAGACTGTAGAGTATTATAAATTTATTTTCTATATTTATTTTAATTAGCTCAGTACAACTAACTTGAAATTATAAATATTTAATTGTAGAATAGCTTCTTGTATAATAATTAAATTTAACAAGATTGTTACCAAGTATATAGCTATAAATGTGGTGATTCTGTTCTAAATAAATACTATGATAATTATCAATATTTAATACTATTACTTTTTCTATATATTTAGCAAGTATAAAATTGATAATTTTAGTATGCTTCTCAGATATATTAGTTTTATATCTCAAAACTAAATAAGATATAATAGTGATTTCTAAATCTGCAAGATATCTAAAATAGTATTAGAAATACTTATTGAATTTAAATAAATTGATAAATCTTTTTTGATATTGTTAACAAATTTATTTTTAATTCTATACAAAAAATAATATACAAATAAAAGTAGTTTTTTTTATTTATATTTATAACTCTACATTTTTTGATTACAGATTAAATAAGAGATATAACTCATTAAATAATTTTTAAATATATATTTTTTTTCATTCATAGCTATTTGGGAATTATCAAATGAATATATAATTAGTTTATTTTCTTTATTTTTATGACTATACAAAATTTTTGTTAATACTCTAATTATTTTAGAAAAAGATAAACAGTTATTAGTATTCTTAAAATCATGTTCTCAAATTTAATTTCATTAATATTATCAACTTCAGATTGCTTTATATCATTAATATTCTTAACTTTAACTTCAGATAATTTAATATTATTTTGAGTATATTGCAAAAATATTGTCAAGTTTCTTGTTACAATTTTATTATAATAGTTCAAACAAATAGTATAATCTAGTTAAATATAATTTAATAAAATATTATTAGTTAACTTTTAAAAATAATATGTTTAGTTATCATCTTCTAGTTAAATAATTTTTTTTGCATATAGTGATTATATATGACTCTCTAGTAAGATATTTTTACTTTTAAGTAAAATATATCAGTTTTGAGATCTTTTAAGATTCTTTTGTATACTAAATATTAATATTTTTGTAAAGCTAATAGTAAAAAAAAATTATTCTTTTTAGTGAAATATTATATTATTAAAAAGTACTTTAAAGTATATAAATAAGTTATTTAATAATACAAATATTTAACTATTTCTTAAACTATCTACTTAAGCAGACAAATTTGTCTACAGTACTTAAATAATTTAATAAAAATAAAACATAAAAAAAATTTTTTATAAAAATTTTGATTCTAATTAGTTATAGTAACTTCTAAAAGCTTGAACCACAAATCATATTCAATAACTACAGTATGATATACTCAAAATGATCTAAACCAAAAGTATAAATTCATATAAAAGATATAAAATATGCTATTTTAACCAAGCTTTTGAGTTACTTTATCTCTTTTGTATTATTTCAAAAACTAATTCTGTAAAGTTAGTTATAAAGAATTTTAACCAACTTCAATATTATATTATAAAAAGTATTTTTGCATGATGATTATGAAGATCTTTCATAATTGTTATATGCAAGTATTATTTTTACTATTAAATTTGATCATAAAGATCATATGAAAATTGCATGATGATTAACTATACTTAGATGATTTTGGAATCATTGAAGAAATTTTGCAAAATAATAATTATATAACAACTAGTACATAGTGTTCTTTTATTTAAGTCAAGAGATTATGAGACGCAGTCTAATAAAATTTGAAGAAATTATGCAATAATTGGTTAAAAAAAATTTAAGTAAACAAATTTGCTTGCTAGACAGTTTAAAAGATAAGCAAAAATTATAGTAAAAATAGTAGTTCTCTATATAAAATCTTCTATAATACTATTACTATATATAGTATCTATGCTCTATAATATTAATCTCTTTCTAGAAATTTCTATTTCAATCTTGTATATATACTTGAACTTTTTATAAAAAGATAACTTTTTTTATAATCAATTAAATAAACTCTATATACTATAGATCAGTATATATAATCTAGGCTAACCATTTGTATTATAATGTTTTTTCTACTTCTCTTACTTAATTTTTACTACAGTAGATTACAGAGTTTATTTTGTCTTTAGCCAAACTCAAACTATTGATATTTGCTATAGGTTTAGAAGCTTAACTAATAAGCTACAAAACCCAAACCCTATTTTTATCTTATTTGTAAAATTATAAATATAACAATTAGAAATAAAAATATTTTTAATTATTTAAATTAAAAAATTTTAATACAAGTATTAAAAAAATTAGAGTATTTTGACTCAGTTGTAATATCTATTATATATTACAAAACTTAACAAAATTTAATATTATACAAACATAAAAGTAAATAATACAGCAACAAAAATTAAATAAATTTTTAATGCATTAATATTGGTTATACCAACTTGATTATTTGATCTTCAAAGTTATAACAATAATAAAATAACTAATTAAACTAAAAAATCTATGATAATTTATATTAACAAGCAATTATTCATTATTTAATATAGTTTAAAAACTTTTAACAACTTCATTTAAGAATTTTCAAATGGTTTACCCAAATCTATATAAAATATACTAGTTGAACATAATCAAAATATGCAAGAAACCAAACCAATCTGAAAAATAAAGCAAAAAATTAAATCAAACAGAAAATCAGGTTGATAAAGAGGTTGGAGATCAAAAACAACAAATGAATAAAGAAACAATTGAAATTCCTTATCGGAAATGCATTTCATAATTGCACTTTTAATTTCGGGTTGCTATAAATCATAATTGCGCTTTTAATTTTGGGTCGCTATAAATAAAGTAATTATTAATATTAATGCAAAAAAAAAATAATAATAAAATCATGTACTTAGCTTTTTATAACTCGAATAGTGTCTGAAGATTTGTGCATTTGTTGAATATTGGTCTGTGCATTATATGAATATTTGTGCATTTGTTAAATATCGATTCGTGTTTAATGTGAATATTTGCGCATATCGGTTCGTGTAACATTACGTGCATAAAAATATCAATGCCAGAGTTTGCATATAGTAGGTTATCACTACATTAGAAGAATAATAATCCAGAGCATAAATATAAACTTTAAATATCGACGTACGTACGTGCTTATATGTATAAAAAACGGTTAAATTCTAAAGATAATATGTTTAAGTTTGCATGGCATCAGATTATTGTTATTCATCTATAAAGAAATTACTAGACGGATCCAAGATATTCCACTTCAAACATACCATATCTCTATAGCAATTAATATTTTAGAGACTTTAAAATTTTAGGCCTATGTATTAGTAGTTCTTGTGACATGCATCTTAAATCATCTTATTCTAAACACGGCTACCGAAATCAATTAAATATCCGCAGAAAAGCTCCTCACGAAACTTGTAACCTTTTTATCTGAACATGATCAATATGATCAATGTGATCAATGTGGGGGTTTGTATGTTCATACGTATGCGGGTTCTTTATCTTTCATCTAATCACACGTACTACTACATCCAAATTCATCTTTATTAGGTTCAAGTTTACTGTGGGCGTCATTTTATTAATAAAATAATTGGTCAAGAAATAAATTTGACCGTACAATGGCTATATCGCTGCGAAACAATTTCACATGTTACAAAAGAAATGAAAATCATTTCCTGATTAATACTTGCATAAATTGTAAAACGTTTTCGTTTGAGATTTTCATATGATAAAGTTACGTACTTGTACACCAATTGTTTTCTTAATATAAATTACCTAAATCATTCAATTCTTTCCATCAATTACGCGCGCGCAAAAAACAAAAAAAATGGTTTCTATCGCAATTCTAGGATGCGATAATAATGCATTCTATTTAGTTTCTCATCTTTTATATCATAATTATAATCCTCAACAACATCCTGATAATAATAATAAGATCTTGTTAGTTGGTCATCAAGATCCTTTTCATAATCTTGGTAGTTCAGAGAAAATTGTATTTAAAACTTTTGATGGATTGGAAATTGTCATTCCTAGAGATCAAGTAAATTATACAACTGATGCGAAGAAAGTTGTTGATTTCAATCCTGATTTTGTGTTAGTAACATTAAAAGGAACTCGCACCATTGAAGTATTGAAAGATATTGTGAATTTGGATGGTAAAACTGTGGTATGAATATAGTATTATGATTAAGAAAGTATAATTTCATTTCATTCATTAGAAAAATTTAAATGTTCAAGTTTTTTTTTTTTAAATATATATATAGATTGTTTCAATGCAAGAAGGAATTCTCAATTCTGATATTATCAGTGTAATCCTTCCTAACACAAAAATAATTGAAGGCCTTATACTCCAAAAAATATCATCTTCTCAGAACTGTCATTTTGTCCAAGGCTCGTCGGATGGTGTAATAATTCTTCAATCAACTCCTGATTCTTTAAAACTACAACAAATCTTTTATCAAAGTGAATTACCCGTAAGATTATGTTCAAACTTAAAAAATGTAATGTACGGTCAACTCATATTGAAACTTGGTAATGCACTTGTATATTTAAGTGGATTATCGTTTGATGAATATGTTAAGGATAAGACTTGGAGACGTATACATGCGTATTGTCAATGGGAAGCTTTCGAGGTGTTCAAACGTCACGGAATCGATCCTGTTTCT